TCTATTTGGGAACCCTAGCCGAACATAGAGCTGTACCATGAAAACAATACCCTACAGCCTTTAGGAGCACATCTGATTATTATTCACTTCATGCTTATATTCACATCTATTCATAGATAAGTGGCAAAAGGGACAAGAATTTTAATGAGACTATTAGCATATATTTTATTGTTTTCAATAAAGATACATGGCTTTTATAGTACAATTATGTATCTGTTCTATGTATAGTCATCTCCACCGGGTTATAATTTATACTATTAGCATAAAGGAAGTGGCTTCACCATTATGGGGCAGGGTGCAGATCAGTTAAAGGGATTATGGGCTCTGAGTTCTGATCTGAGAATTCTCCTTCCTTATCCCCACCATTTCACCAGATATCCAGGGTCCAACAGCCCCTCTTTAAAGGCAGTTATAGTTTGCCCACATAGGGAAGTAGACAAAACCTGCTAAAATCTGAAGGTTAAGACTAATCATTTCTGCATGGTTGTCACTAAGCAGAGTCCTCCTGAGGGACCCAGACAGGAGCGCAGATACATGCCCCAGGCCCAGTTGATGCTGCTCATTACAGGGAAGCTGGGCTCCTATAGCACCCCAATCCACATAATGTCCCTCTATGTAACCTTGACTGTACATCATTAATGTATGAAGTGTTTATAAATACACCTTTAAGTAAGTGTCTTAAATTGTGTGTTAATGGCCGCCTGATGGGAATGAGTATTAAGTGGGCTGGAGTCTAAAGTGTATAATGAGTCCCATTGATTTCCCTGTTCTCAGCGCCATCTCCTTGCCATCTAGCCTCTCCCACAACTAGAGGAAATCTTTTTAAATCTTGAGAAGCAATTCCACTTTGCTCAAACTGTCCTTTTTCTCTAACATTTTGTTTCTGCTCCAAGTCCCATTGTTCTGCTGGAAGTGTAGCTCCAGTGGTAGAGCTCTTGCTTAGTACAGGCAAGGCCCTGAGCTCAGACCCCAGTACAGGGCTGAAGAGATGTCCCTCTATGCTGTTTCTTGTCCAAGCTTTCAAAACTAACAATGGGGAAACTATACAAAAAAGAGCTCATGGGGCTGGGAAGGTGGCTCAGTGGTAGAGTGCTTGCCTTGCATGCCTGAGGCCCTGGGTTCGATTCCTCAGCACCACATAAGAAAAAAGAAAAAAGCCGGAAGTGGCACTGTGGCTCAAGTGGTAGAGAGTTAGCCTTGAGCTGAAGAGCGCCCATGCCCAGAGTTCAGGCCCCACGACCAGACCCCCCAAAAATATAAAAAGCTCATGCTTATTCAACTACAAGCTAGTCCTCGTGGCCAAGCCAGTATTACCTTATCACACTTTTTCTCCCACTCTATGCTTTCCTTCAGTCCCTCCTTCTCCCCACAATGCTCTTCTCCTACCCTTTGTCTCCTTTAACCCTCATTCAAACCTCAGGTCTCAGCTTCAGACCTTGAGACTAGATCATATTCTACATTAAATAGTTTTGTAGAAATAGGTATTGCTCCTGCAGGATATTTATTGCCATTGCAATTATATTTGTGTCATTATTAAATATTGTGTTTTCCCCACCAGCCTGCCAATGCCACAGGGAGGGATTTTTCCCCCTACTCTTCACATTAAATCCTCACTGCTTAGCATAATGAGCACGTGAACTCTCCTGAATAATCTGACATTATTTCTCTTACTACAACTTTTAGAATTACTAGGCACTAACCAATTTTGTGAAAATGCCCTAAGAAAGTAAATAAATTAGCTAAGGTCAATATGGAGCTGGGTATTGGTGGCTCATCTATAATCCTAGCTACTCAGAAAGCTGACATCTGAGATTCAGCATTTGAAGCCATCCCAGACAGGAAAGTGTAGGAGACTCTAATCTCTAAGTAACCAACAAAAAGTGCCTTGAACAGAAGAGGTGCAGTGCCCAGGCCCTGGGCAGAGGGGGAGTGGGGAGTGGGCGGATATCAGTCTGAACTTCTTCTTAAGGATATAGAGCTACCATTTCTCTTACAAAATCTATAGGATATTCATCAGCTTTGGAAATAAAAAAAAAGCTCAAAGCTTATATCTCACAGCCTAAGTACAAGCAGATGTTATAAAAGATTATCCTATAGTGTATCTAAATTGTGTGTACCAAATATGTTCAGGAATACAGTGTACTTTAAACAAATTAAATCCTACTTGCTCCCATGCTTCCATTTCCATTCCGTAGAAGCAAAATAATCAACAATTTTAATCTTTCCACTTAAATATAACATCTTTTGAGTTAAGCCTTAATTTCTTCTCGTCATTATTTAGATATAGTAGGATTCACTACCCCTCCCAGAATTCTTCTGGGCACAGGAGCAGGAGTTGCCCTAAATAGAAAGGGTGTAACAACTCAGTAAACTCGTCTATACAGGTCAAATAACTCTACAAAGCACTCAAAGCTGAAAGATGGAATTCTGGGCCTTCTTTGGGGAACCATCCTAGTTTGCTCGGGTAATAACATGAAATTTGTTTTTATCTCTAGGCTGAGTTATCTGTCTTGCAATCTTGAAAAATAAGGCGTGGTACCAGCCCAAAACAGTGACTTTGCATTAACCAAGCAGAGTGTAATGGCTTATAAAGAGGAAGTACAGGAAAAACAAAACAAAAGCCTGATCTTTATTTCTAATAGAGCAAACAAAATCATCTGTAACATTTTGCTTAGTTGTTCTCTGGAGCACATATTTCAATATACCTACAGCTTGCTATGTATTCATTTAATAGGTACACTCTTGAGGATATATTTTTTTAAAGTTTATACAATAGTACCAACTTAACCATAATCATGTTGAGAGTTGAAACAAACAACTAGGAGAATATAAATAATGTGGAATAAAGTGGGATACTTTATCTTCAATTTTTTCCTTCTATACATAGTGGCTATGAGTGTCTGATCAATGAAGTAATTCCTTTGGACTTCACATAATACATGAAGATAAACATGTCACCTATAATACATTAAACAAGTAGGTCTCATTTTTCACCAGTTCAGTCCATGCTTTACTGAGCAAGGAATTTACTAGCTTTATGATGAGCATAAGATATTCATCAGCTGGGTACTGGTGGCTCACACCTGTTACCCTAGCTACTCAGGAGCCTGAGATTTAAGGATCTCAGTTCAAAGCCAGCCCAGGGAAAGGAAGTCCATGAAATTATCTCCATAAACCACCAGAAAACTGGAAGTGGCACTGTAGCTCAAGTGGTAGCGTGCTTGCCTTGAGCTGAACTGCTGAGAGACAGCACCCAGGCCCAGAGTTCAAGCCCCATGACCGACAAAGAAAAAAAAAAAAGATATTCATCAAGGAGGAGATTTTACTTCCAGTGGTGCTGGTACTGTCTTTCCTAAGATACAATCCTCTCTGCAGAGCCCCTATTGGGCCTGTATAGAAGGGGATTCTTCACAACCTCTGTAGTGTGTGTTTAGAAAGCTCTCATTCACTGACATCTTCCCTCTTTTCCTCTCCTTTCCAATCAGTCTTGTATAGTGAAATCAGAGTTTGAGATTTGAACTCAAATGTGGAGCTAGTCAGGCAAAATAAAACCTAGGGCTTTGATTTACTCATTGTCCTATTTTATCCTGAACTAAACCTTTTACTAGGCGTTCAGTTGTCACAAGCTGAAGAACAATGACCTGAATTCAACATAAGATTTGTCCTTAATGAAGAAGAAAGAATCAAACACATTCTTGTAGCAGTAGGAATTTATAAGTAGAGAAAAGAATATCATATTTAATTTTTTTAAAAGCCAATTGTAACTCAAGATTTTTGGGATTTTTTGTGCCTGCCCTATGGCTTGAACTCAGGACCTAGGCACTGTCCCTGAGCTTTTTTGCTCAAGGATAGCATTCTACCACTTGAGTCACAGCTCTACTTCCACATTTTGATGGTTAATTGGAGATAAGTTTCTCATGGACTTTCCTGACAGGGCTGGCTTCAAACTACAATCCTCATATCTCAACCTTCTCTGTAGCTAGGATTACAGGCATGAGCCGCTGTCACCTGGCCAAGTTAAGACGAAGGAAGGAAGGAAGGAAGGGAGGGAGGGAGGGAGGGAGGGAGGGAGAGAGAAAGAAAGAAAGGAAAAGAAAGAAAGAAAGAGAAAGAAAGGGAGAGAGAGAAGGGAGGGAAAGAGGGAAGGAGGGAGGGAGAAAGGAAGACATAAGGAAAGAAAGAATGAAATGAAGGAAGGAAGGAGAGAGAAGGAGAGGGAGGAAGGAGAGAGGGAGCGAGGAAGAAAAGAGGGAAGGAGGGAAGGAGGGAAGGAAGGGAAGGGAAGGGGTGGTGAGGAGGGGAGAGAGAAGGGAGGAAAGAAAAGAAAAGAAAGGAAAGACAGAAAGAAGGAGGTAAGATGCTTTTAATTTTAATAACCCATGTTTCATTCTAAAAGAAACTTCCAAATTGTTAATATATTTAAAGCTCTTACTAAGTCTCAAAAGTAGAGCAAATCAACAGTGACAAATAAAAATAGCTTCTATGAATATTTACTTCCAAATGTGTTATCTGCTGGCAGATTAATAATTCATAATAAAAATAATCTGAATGCTTTGCATTTTTACAAAGTATTTTTCAAAGGGTACCTAAAATAGGTGTAAATTAAACTAGCATACTACCTTATACTGAATGATAGAAAAGTCTGACATTGTTATAATTTTTAAAACTTTTTTGGATAAAAATGAATTTCACACAGTCTCTTAAAGGATACAGTATATAAAACATTCTCAAATAATTTTAATCCAAATATTAAACTTAGGAGAAAAAACTTAACTATCAAAATATGCTAAAAGGACATTTTGTTTTTCCTGCAAAAAATCAAGATTAGAATTAAATATCATAAATTTAACGGTTGAGCTGTTACAATTAAATATTTAAGCACCATATAGTTTCTTTTATAGTAACTACATTTGATTCTTCACATTTACATTTTAAGATTAATCCTATGAAAATAGATATGAGTTTAATAAATATTCTACTAAAGTATTTTTTCTATTAGACACATGCAAATACATATATTTATTTAGAAGGACCCATTTCTTCTGGTAATCAATGACACAAAACTTGATAAGGTCATAGTTTTACATTTGATCTTATATGCATGAAACTTGAAATTCATAACACATATACTTTCAATCATATTGGTGCATAGGTAGGTCAAATTCATTTTTAATGTTTTATGTCATTTTTATAAGGAAGATTAACTATAAGAAAAATAACTTAAAATCACTTTGGTACTTAAAAGTTTAGTTAGAATAATATGGTATATGTATAACCTTATAAAAATAAGTATTTAAACTATTGATTTTGTTTCTTAGCCTAGGTAGATAAAATATTCTAGAACATGATCTAAACAAAAAAAAAACACTAAGAAAATATCACCAATTCCATGTGTATAACTCAGACAGCTGAAGAGTTGTTAAATATACATACCGTTTTTAAGTACAAAACTTCTGAAATATATTTTCTACTCCCTGAAATCTTGCTCAGTAGAATTTTACATTTTTACTGACTTTATCATTATTTATCATTTATTTACTTAGCTAGTCAGATCAAAGGCTTTGGTGATCAAGCCAAAGCCTAGTAGGTTTTTTTAAAAAAAATTTTCTATTTAAGTGGTAATTCTCTTTGCATACCATATATAATAAAATACATCAAGAAGTTATTCTTCAGATGTATGATACATAATTATTTCAATGATAAAGAGTTAATAAAATTTTCAAGGTCTGCTAAAGAGTCATGAAGCCCATCATTCATATCTTGACTCCTAAGAAATTTTTTAAGAGTGTCTAAAGCAGTAACTGCTTCAGTTTTTGATGGTATAGGGGATTCCGTTTCTAGAGACCCCCCATCTTCCTCTTCATCAGAAGTATAAAATCCAGTCTCATCAGATTTACTGTCTTTGGTCCATTCCAAGTCCTCACTCGGTGCTGCTTCACAAGTCTCCAGATCGTCATCCAGGGCAGCATACTCCTCTATAGACAAACCCTCGGGAAATTCCACCCCTGCCCCTAGAGCATGGGCCACCAAGTCAATACCAGTATCGCTCTCTGCACTTGTTGAGTCGTTTTCTCCCTTCGAAGACTTGAATCCTGCTTCTTCATAGCTTTTAACAATTGTCTCTGGGGTTACAGCCCTCCAACAGAGATGCAGTGTGTCAACTGCATCAAGTAGTGAAAATGTAAATTCTTTGCTACCTTCAACAGAGCTTAAAAATTTCTTGATGAGACAGTGTCGATATTTGATTTTAAGACTTTTAATAACACCTTGTTTCATAGCTACAAACTTGGAAGATAAACAGGATGGAAAGAATGCTAGCTCAATGGACTTTAGGTTCTTTACCTCTGGATGTGCAGGAAAAGAGTCAACAAAAATCACCACTCTTCGTTGCTGAGCTTGAAACTTCTCATCAAGCTTCTGCATCCACTGTTCAAAGATGTCTGGGGTCATCCATGCCATTCTGTTAGCTTCATAATACACAGGCAATGACTTTAGACCTTTGAAGCAATGTGGACTTCTGTTTTTCCCAATGATAAGCAAAGGAAGTTTCTCTGAGCCATCCATGTTTGTACCAACCACCAGAGTTATTCTGTCTTTGTACAGTTTTCCAACTGAGCAAGTTTCTCCTTTAAATGCAAATGTATTTGTAGGTAACATACGATAAAGGAGCCCAGTCTCTTTGATATTAAAAACATTTTTAGGATGATAATCATTTAAATAGTAAGGTAGAATATTTTGGTACCAGACAGATGATGGGTCTACTGCTATGCCTGTGGCTTCTACAGGTTGTGCTCTGAATACTAAACCATACCTGGATTTAAAACGGTCCAGCCAACCATTACTGCATTTAAAATCATTATGTCCCAGTTTCTGGGCAAAATCATTAGCTTTCAGACGCAACATTGGACCATTAACTGGTACATTTAGACACTGAGCAATTCGATACCATCTCATTAATGCCTCTTCTAGGTCCGTATAAAAAGCAGTTCTCAGTCTTTTCCTCTTTGGATCAAATCTCAGCGATTCAAAGGCTTCTAGAACTTTATCTTTGTTTTTCATAATAGAAGACAGTGAATTTTTCTTTATTCCATATTCAGCTGCAATCTCGGCTTTTTTCTTGCCACTTTCCACTGCGTTTATGATGTCAATCTTTTCCTCAATGGACAGACTTTTCTTTTTCTTCACCGTTACAGGGAGAGTTGAGGCATCCACAGGCGCTTCTGCCATCTCAGCCAGAGGGGATACAGATTTCTCCTCTTACTTCACAGTATCAGTTCCTTTGATTTGTTTTACAGCAAGACACAGAGTGCTGCTTTCTATCTATTTCATATATTAGACACCGGCAGATGTCTAGTTAAGTCTTATTTCTCAGGAAATGTGTGACTAAATATCCTTTTTCAAAGGACCCAAAGAAGGAAAATGTTAGATCCAACTAGAATGGTTGAAAAGAGAAACTTATGTCCTAGGATCTTGGGTAGCCCAGTTTATAGTTTACTCAGAGTTCCAAAAGTCAAGCTAAAATAGAAATCTCATTATGTCAAACCTGTCCAGTCCTGCCGATATATTTCTGGAGCTGAAATCCTTTAAGATGATCATTTTATCCATGTGCGCTTTTATTAATTCTCCACCAAAGGCTTCAAAGAACAAAACATCTGAAAATTGTCATGTGAATGTTACTCATTAATTTCCAAGTCTCTTCAAGGATAGAGAAGAAAATGATAGCTCGCTTCTACAATTTGCTAGTACATCTTCTCTGTCTTCTGGGAGGGGGAAGCAGAAATTTAAGCAGTAGGTCAATTGAATATAAAAAGATTATTTAAGTCAATTATTATGCTCTAAACAAGAAAAAAAATGGGAAGATGTTTCTGGGAAATATAACTGAAGTTTTCAGGAGAAACTTACCTTTCAGAAGCACCTCTCTGTAGAATGCTCTGTAGATCTACACTGTGCATTTGAATTTTTGTTTGTCTTTGAATCCTTGGGAATATATACTTCTGAAATAAATCAGACAAATTTAATCTGCATTGAAAATGTGGACTTACCGAAATTAAAGAACTAAAAATGATGCTGGATATATTCTTAGGGGCTATTTCTTTTACATGAGATCATAGACTGTACCCTCTGACTTTTCTAAAAGAAATAACATAGTCAGACGATAGTCACGAGGCTCAACTTTTAATAGCATGTGGGGACAGTGTCCCTTTATAGGAGTCTGGAAGAAATGCTGAACTAAAAAGAAATTCAAATCGGGCTGGGAAGGTGGCTCAGTGGTAGAGCGCTTGCCTTGCATGCATGAGGCCCTGGGTTCGATTCCTCAGCACCACATAAGCAAAAAAAAAAAAAAAAGCCGGAAGTGGCGCTGTGGCTCAAGTGGTAGGGCGCTAGCCTTGAGCTGAAGAGCTGAGGGACAGTGCCCAGGCCCAGAGTTCAGGCCCCACGACTGGACCCAAAAAAAAAAAAGAAAGAAAGAAATTCAAATCAAGCAATTGATAATTCTGTTTTAAAAAATATAAGCCTCTTTCTACATAAAAGCTTAAAAATCCAGTAACTTTTTTTTTGGGGGGGGGGGTCTGGTCATGGGGCCTGAACTCTGGGCCTGCGCACTGTCCCTCAGCTCTTCAGCTCAAGGCTAGCACTCTACCACTTGAGCCACAGCGCCACTTCCGGCTTTTTTCTTTTTGCTTATGTGGTGCTGAGGAATCGAACCCAGGGCCTCAGTCATGCAAGGCAAGCGCTCTACCACTGAGCCACCTTCCCAGCCCCCAAAACCCAGTAACTTTTACATCAGTGTAACACATTAGTTGAATGTACATGGGCTAGAAATACCTGAGACAATGCATGGCAATAAACTTTTTTATTAAGAGGATTAGTGAAATAAAAAAAGACTAAGCAGGAAGAAGAGGGATGGTTGTGATCTTACCTTCTCAGAACCTCTACTACCTTACAGAATGACATAGATTTGGAGAATAACAGATCTGAATTGAGAGGAGACTCTGCCATTTAGCACTCAATGTAATCCTACTTTATTTTCTTATCATTGAGGTAAGAGAGGGTTACTCTCACATCACTTCACAGGGTGATTTCACATTCAATGAGACCCAGTGACTGAGAATAAGGCACTTAGCATAGTATTTAACAAATATATGGTGATGGCCCCCTCCTTCTTATTGTCATCTCAAGTCTTTTCAGTCTTTCCAGAATCTACAATCCAGGGATTTCATGAAATTCCATACATATATGGAAGCAAGAATCCCATGTTAAACATAATGCTAGAAGCAGGGCACAGAAGCCCAGGAGTACTCTGAGAATACTCACAGGGAGGGCCCCAGATGGGCTTCCTTCCACCTTCCTAGTATCTATCATCTCTGGTCTACTGCAGCCAAGATAGCAGATGTGTGCCAGGAAAAAAAATTGTATAACTTTTTATCTAGCAAGTCTAGATCCTCGGATTTTACTCTCAAAGGAATACTTATAGATGTAAAAATAATTTCTCAAAGTATGTGAATTTTCTGTTGCTATGTAACAAATTATCATATGTTTAGTACCTTAAAACAATAACCATTTATTACCGCATACCCTTCTATAGGTCAGAAGTAAGGTACACTCAACTGGGATTGCTGTTTAGGGTCTCATAAAGCAGAAACTGTGACATCACTCAGAGGCTAAGGTCTTATCTGAGGGCTGCGGGAAGAATTTGCTTCCAATCCCATTGAGGTTGTTCACATAATTCACTTCCTTGCTGTGAGACTGAGGTCCCTGTGGTTTTCTTGGCTGTTGCCAGGGACCACTCTCAGAGTTCCTTGGGCCCACTATCAGGTCCTTTTCTGTAGCCCTCTTCATTTTACCACAGAAAACATTCCTCCTGTGATTAGGTCAGGCCCATCCAGATTATCTCCCCTTTGAGAAACTCAGTCACCTGATTAGTAACTTCAGTTTTACCTGAAAAATCCCATTGCATGTATAACGAAGTAATCATAGGAATGTTTTCTCATTGTATCCCCAAGGGAGGGAAAATATAAGAAATCACTGTAGAATTCTGCATGCCACACAAGAATATGATTATAGGGCTGGGAAGATGGCTCAGTGAGAGTGCCTGCCTTGCATGCATGAGGCCCTGGGTTCGATTCCTCAGCACCACATAAGCAAAAAAAAAAAAAGCCAGAAGTGGTGCTGTGGCTCAAGTGGTAGAGCAATAGCCTTGAGCTGAAGAGCTGAGGGACAGCACCCAGGCCCAGAGTTCAGGCCCCACGACCAGACCTAAAAAAATAAAAAAAGAAAAAAAGAATATGATTATAGACAAAACTAGAAACAACCTATATGTTCAATAAAATGATTAGTTAAGAAAATTAGGGAATATTTCTGTGTTGAAATGCTACTGAGCCACTGAAGAACAATTTTAATGGTATGAAAAAGATCTGATAAATACAAAATATGAAAGTAGCGAACAGCAGATAATGAAAATCATGAGAGAGAGAGAGAGAGGACACACTGAAAATAGTCCTTCAGTGCTCAGTGTAGGCAAACAAGAGGTTCCCAATAATTATTTGCTAAATAAAGGAAAACATACACATAAAGAAAAATAGATACTGGCCAAAAATGTTCAGCATTCCCTCTAGGTAACTGAACTATAAATAAGTTCAGTACTTTTCTCTTTATATCTTAAAAAAACCACTCATTTTATTTTTCCAATTCTAATGCTCTTTTTGTGCCAGGTTATTTTTTTAAAATCTCAGTATTAGAGTCATAAAGTTGGCATTGTTCCCACTCAGAGTATCCAGGAGTAATAAGTTACTCATTTTTAATCACTAGTTCACAGTTCTCTGCAAGAGAATCAACCACTTTCCAAAGTGAAGGAAGCATTTATTCTCTGTCTTCCACAAATAGATAGCTACCATGCCCACTTAATCCTGTCTACAACATTACTGTAAGTAGCACCAGTTGCTGGAATTTGCCTATGTGCAGCATATAAACTTATTTCACTAACAAGCAGTTTCTAGGTGCTATAAGACAATAAAATGAGTCCCTAGTTCAGCACCTCAAAAAAGATCATGGGAAACAAATATGTAAATATGCAATGACAGGAGCTGGGGTTCAAAGTCAAGGGCTGTGGGAAGAATGAGTCCATATGAGAAGTAGAACCTGAACTCAACTGTAAAGGATGGATAAGGACATAAAAGGTAAAGAGAGAGAAAACTTTTCTACTGGAAAAAGAGAGGGAAAAAATGCAGGAGGGAAATTGTAGGGCAATATAAAAAGCATAGTAAGTAGTTCCATGTAACTAAAGTTTTCTGTGTTGATGTCCATATTACTTGGCTAAATGAGTACTTTTTTTTTTTTTGGTTGTTCATGGGGCTTGAACTCTGGGCTTAGGCACTATCCCTGAGCTCTTCAGCTCAAGGCAAGCGCTCTACTGCTTGAGCCACAGTGCCACTTCCAGTTTTCTAGTGGTTTATCAGAGATAAGAGTCTCATGGACTTTTCCTGCCTGGGCTGGCTTTGAACCGAGATCCTCAGATCTCAGGCTCCTGAGTAGCTAGGATTATAGGAGTGAGCCACTGGCACCCAGCTAAATGAGCACTTTTTTTTCCCTGAGTATTGGTTTAGTTTTCTATAAACTGCATTATATACACCAGAAAAACAAGACTGAGGTCAGACCTTGTTAAACCCTGAATGCCAGAATAAAGAATTAGAATTCATCAGTATGTCACAAATGCCATTTAAAGGTTTTGATGGGAAGGATGACAAGATCACATGAGTTTTCCAGTTACCATACCACATGCTTAAAAGAGAACACACCTGCTTTTAGAAAGAAATGCTACGTAAGAGCCATAATGTCACTTAATTCATCACATATACAGGTATAATCTACTCATAACTGAATAAAGTTGTACATGTACTTGTTATAAAACTGCCTTAAAATGTTAAGAAGTTTGCTGGGTGTTGGTGGCTCATGACTGTAATCTTAGCTGCTCAGGAGGCTGAGATCTGAGGATCATGATTCAAAGCTAGCTCAGCAAAGTCCTGAAAACTTTTATCTCCATTAACAGGCCAAAAGCAAGAAATGGAGCTGTGGCTCAAGTAGAAAAGCACTAGCCTCAAGCAAAACAGCTCAAAAACAGCACCCAGGCTCTGAGTTCAAGCCCTAGAACCCCTCCCCCCGCCCCCCCCCACACACACACCACGAGTTAAGAAATCCTTGCCTTGGGCTGGGAAGGTGGCTCAGTGGTAGAGTGCTTGCCTTGCATGCATGAGGCCCTGGGTTCGATTCTTCAGCACCACATAAGCAGAAAAAGCCAGAAGTGGCGTTGTGGCTCAAGTGGTAGAGGGCTAACCTTGAGCTGAAGAGCTGAGGGACAGTGCCCAGGCCTAGAGTTCAGGCCCACAACTGACAAAAAAAAAAAAAGAAATCCTTGCCAGAAGTGAGTGGATCATACCTATTATCCTAGCAACTCAGGAGGCTGAGACGTGGAGGATCACAAGTCAAAGCAACTGGCAGAAAAAAGTACCAGCCCTGAGCAAGATAGTACCAGAATCTGACCGGACTAGAAAGTACTTGATAATTAGTAATATGTTCGCCAAGGCACAATAAGCAGCAGCAATTCCAAGCAATTCTGAAAGAGTCAGAATCTTTATCAAAACCATCAACAGGTGCAAAGGCATTATCTAGCTAAGGATAACAACTAAAGCAAGTGTTCACTTTCTAAACATAAGAAACAACCTCTAATTTAAACAATGTAACAGATTAACTTTGGTGAAGCTATACTCCAGATAGAAAACAAAAATCCTTAGAGACTGCCCAATTTAAGTACACGTTGTCCACATCAGTTTTTTTTTTTTTTAAACCAGGCCCTTCTTTTAAGTCACCCTTCCAAAACTTGCATTCATCTGCAAGTTCTGTAGCTACCCCGTTCCTACACAATAAGAGCCGTGATAAATCCAGATTGGGATCCTAATAACTGAGAAGACTGAGGGGGTTCCAACCTAAGATGATTTGGAACAGAAAATCCACTATAAGCTTCAGAACTGAAATGCTATGGTTTAGTGAGTTTTCCTGTAAAGATGAGGAAGGGCCCGTTAGACTAGGTTGATGTTTGGGAATTTCAGTACTGCTTCTGCACGGGATGATAGGCGAGAGATCTCAGACTGTGTTGTCAGTTCCGCAGGAAACACAGGTAGTGTCACCACTCAGGGATCTGTGCAAGGTATCTATGCAGGGATATTTCACTATGTACTGAAACTTCGGGTTCTGCCTGTGGTCCTTGTTGTTGTTAAAAACGAGTTGCCAGCTGCTGTGACAAGGGAAGGAGTGAGTGTGGTCTAAAAGTGGCTAAGTCCCACCCTGGGCACAGCCACCCCTCGCACTCCTACAAGGGAAATGCGAATAGAAGCGATCCAGCCGGCTGTCGGGGGAGGCGCGGTTTGCAGGCGGATGGGCGTGGCTGCGCGAGCTGCGGGCGCCCCGGGGAAGGAGCTTCGGTGCGTCCGGCTCGCCACCCCGGGGCTGGGGGACGGGGCGGGGAAGAAGCGCACGTCGGGGGCCTCCATTTAGGAAACTCCGAAAGGCTCCGGGAGAAGGAACTGCGGAGCGTTTCTGCAGACCGGACAGGGACCTACTTGGAAGCAGAGCTCCGTCAAGAGGAGCGAGACAGAGGGACAGCAAAGAGCGTGGGGTCCGCGGCGACGGGCGAGCGGCCGGCGCCGGGGGCGGTGTGCACGGGCGGCGCGGCCGAGGCGGGCTCCAATAACCTTTTCCGTGCTCTCCGCTGCCAGCAGCTTTGGCTCTTCCGTCGTGGCGTGGCGGTGCACTACGTCCACCTCCACCCCCTGAGCCCGGGCGCCAACTCCCAGCGCGGGCCGGTACCTCCGGGGCCGCCTTCACGCTTCCCCACACCGCAGCTGCTAGAAAATTACCCGGGCAACGCCGGTGGCGGGGCCCCGGATGTGGTTGCTAGGGCCACCGCGGGGGGCGGAGCCATTCTCCGGAGGGGGCGGAGCCATCCTTTCGAGGAGGCGTGGTCAACCTCTGGAGAGGGGCGGGGGAACCTCGTAGGAGTTGTGCGGGCACCAACGAGACGTGGCGGCGCCGGGCTCGATTCAGTGAGCCTGAGAGAGAGGCCGTCCAGGGCTAAGGACACCGCCACTTCCGGTCTGCTCACTTCCGGTTTCGCGGCTGGGGCTGCGGGTGCAGGCGGCCGGGCGGAGCGGCGCGGGTCCGGGTGTCCTTCGCGGTTGGCCAGTGTGCGCCCCTGACAGCTGCACCGCTCCCGCCCCGGAGCATCGAGGCGCGCGGGGGAGGGCACGGAGGAAAAGGTCCGGGTGGCGCTTCCGCTCTCCTCTCGCCTGGGTTGAGGCAATTCCGGGGAGCAGCGGCCGGGATAATCCTCGACTCGGGTGCCGCCGGGATCCCCGCAGACAGGTGAGGGCGGAGCAGGCCCGCCGGGGAAGGGGCGGGGAAAGACGGGCCCCGCGGGTTGGGGGGCCGGGGGCCCGACACGTTGCCTCCGTGTTCGCAGCTCCGGACGTTCCCCGGGCACTGGTGCCCTGCCTGGGCACCGGATCCGCCCAAGGAGTCCTGCCGGGGGTTTCTGCGCCTACATTCCTGCGGTCCTTCTGCGTGTCCCCCGGGAGACTGCCGAGGGGTGGGGGAGCGCCGGGCCTGCAGGGCGGCACCCTCCGGGCTCGGCGTGCACCGGGTGGGAAGGGGGCTGCAGGGTCCGGGGTTGGGCCGCCTTTAAGGTTTGGCATTTCTCCGCTCCCTGCCCGCAGCTCCCCTTCCTCTCTTCCGCGGTGAGGGGAGGGAGATAGCTGTCGTCTCCCTCCCCCCCCCCCCCCCCCCCGTGGGGCTGGGAGGAGACTTGCCCGTGAACTGCCGCCAGCCTGACACGGCTGGTGAGGCCGTCCAAGGAATGCTGCAGCTGGGGCTGGCAGACTCCGGCCCTGCCTTCTGGTCCCATCCACGGGGTTAAGTAACTCCTGTTGACGTGTCTACAACAGGGTTTAGAAAGCAACAACAACAACAACAAAAAGTTTTTTAGATACTAGACTTGGCTCGCTTTAGTTTATTATTACTGCTTTCTTTGCTTTGTTCTTACCTTCCTCTCAGCCCTTTGATTTAAGGGGGGGACAAAGGTTGTTCTTTACACTGCCTGCAGATTCTTTAGCCAGACACCCTTTGAGGAATTCTGTTCCTTCCCTTCTCTTCCCTTTCCCTTCTCTTTCTTTTCCCTTTCCCTTCTTTTTCCCTTCCCTTCCCTTCCCTTTCCTTTCCTTTCTTTTCCTCCTAAAGTACACTTACTCAGTTCTTATTTGATAAGAAGAAAGAGGAAGAGTTTTCTGCTTTCACCTGTGAAGGGTGTGTTCACCTTTGCCATTTAATTAACTTCCTCGACCCAGTGAGTGCACCCAGTTGGTGACGTTCACCCAGCCCTTGGCGTTAGCGGCACGAGTGGGCCATTTCATTGCTGCTATTTCAGAAGAAGTACGGTGACTGTATTTTTTTTTTACCATGGTTTTAGTTATACTTTTCTTCCTGTGTTTTGTTTGTTGCTCGGTTGGTTTTTCTTGCTCTGCATGCTGAAGGCCCTGACCCAACCCCAAAGTCTATTACTCATTATCTGGGAAAATAGAGAATGGTTCCACTCTTTCTTTATTTTCTGAACTAAAGTCCCTGCCTCAGTCTTTTGTTCCTTTTCGATTTGACACATTAGGTTTCCTTGGATTATGATTTGCATTAATCCTGGATTATTAGTTGGAGCATCAGTGACTTTCAGAAGCCTTCTTTCTCCCTACCTCTGAAATTAATGTCCAGATCAATTTAAAAACCCACCATTTAGTTTCTTCTTGAAAGTTAGTAGAAAACAGATACTAATTTATTTTGGAGCTGTCCCCCACCCCTTAAGAAAAAAATTGTATGGGGCCAAGAAGAGTAGGCTGCAAGGATTCTAGCTTGACACTGCAATCTCAGACTACTTAAACACTTTGGTGTTTCTACATAACTTCTTATACTTACAGAAGGAAGCAGCACTGTCTACTCACTTAGTTCCTGATTTGTGGTTTTACTATTTCTTTTTAGGGATTGCTGTTGGTGGCACTTTTTTTTTTGTCAATTGCATGGATTTATAAATGTACGCTTATCACTATTCACAATATATTAAGTGTCACGTACCCATCAGGTACAGCTGATAATAAAACATTTAAATTCTGGTTTTACATTGCTTTCATTTTCTTGTTTTTCATTAGAGGCAGCTGCCTTGGGCTTTGACTTGGATTTAGCTTTGCTTGGCAGGACAGATAAGATGATTTCAGTGGTATGGTTCCATAAGCCTTTGGTATGTGGCTGCTTTATCTTGACATCCTCTTTCCCTCCATTCTGTATTAGGTATTTGAATAATTTTTTTCCCTTGAAATTTAGAATTCTTTTTTCTTTTTTTTTTTTTTGGTCAGTCGTGGGATTTGAACTTTGGGTCTGGGCCCTGTCCCTGCGCTCTTCAGCTCAAGGAGAGCGCTCTACCACTTGAGCACAGCGCCACTTCCAGTTTTCTAGTGGTTTAATTGGAGATAAGAGTCTCACAGACTTTCCTGCCCAGGCTGGCTTTGAACAGAGATCCTGAGATCTCAGGCTCCTGAGTAGCTAGGATTACAGGCGTGAGCCACTGGTACCCTGCTGAAATTTAGAATTCTTTCATGCTTAATGAGTTGGTTGTGAATTGTTTGTTGATAGATAAAGTTCTAAAGGGCTGAAACTTATTTCATAGAATATTAGAACTTGAGGGAACCTGTACAGCTCATTACACATAATCTGTCTACATTAATCAGTTTCTTCTGCTCACACAACAAAATAGATTTCTTCAGTGTTGCCATCAACCTTAGGAGTGCAGGAAACATAACTTGGTAAAGAATAAGTTAGGCTAAATTAGTTTCACTGTCCACAAGATAAATTACATCTCACACTGTAATGGCATTTGTTTGCTTACTAGGTGCCAGACATTATGTGCTGAGTGCTTTACATGATTATCTCCTGTGATCCTCCTAGCAACTTTATAGGGAAGCCTCTCTACCCCTCCCCCCCCCCCCCCACAATTTGGTTGTGAGGCTTGAACTCTGGGCCTGGGCACTGTCCCTGAGCTCTTCAGCTCAACACTATTAGCACTCTTACCACTTGAAGCCACAGTGCCACTTCTGGTTCTGGTTGTTAATTGGAGATGAGTCTCACAGGCATTCCTGTCCCGGCTGGCTTTGAACTGTGATCTTCAGATCTCAGCCTCCTGAGTAGCTAGGATTATAGGCGTGAGCCACCAGTGCCCAGCATCACTTGCCATTTTTATAGATGAAGAGACTAAAACCAAATGGCTGAGTCTAAAATAATCTGCATAGAGTAGCACTTGTGGAACTAGGATTTGAATTCATCTGTGTAGAAAACTAACAGTATTTGTACATTGAAGAATGAGTTGTTCCACATAATGTGGAAGATGACAACTTAAGTACCATGACAGTCTTTAAAAACGGGGTATGTACCGGTGTCTCTTCTAGCATGTATGAAGCTATAAAACAAAAGGATCTGAAAATAATTTTGTTCTTGTTTTCTACTATCTATAGGCAGCCACAGAAGCCTATCACTTTCAGATTCTCAGCTATTCTCTTTAGGACAAAAGTGTACTCTTTATTTTTCTCTTTCTCACACACACATTCTCTATTTCCATTACTCCATTTTTATTCCTCTGTTCTCATCTATTTCTTTTAGACAATTTGTCTTAAGATGGACATAGGCAGATATTGCTTATTTCCCTCTGCAATTAATTTCTAGCAAAATGAATATGTGGTTTTTTTATCAACTACTTTTTTCCCCTTTAACGAGCATACTTATTTAAATGAATACAGTATTCTGAGTAAACAGTCTACTTTGAAATCAGTTCTAGAACTATCGTGAATTCATATTGAGACATACAAAAGTTAAATCCTTGACAAGCAGGTACAATGACTCAAGCCTGTAATCCTAGCTTACTGGAGAGGCAGAGATCTGGGGATTATGATTTGAGGCCAGTTAGTACAAAAAGAAATTCATGAGACTTCTTTTCAACTAATAGGTAGGTGCAGTGGTCCATGCCTGTTATCCCAGTTACAGAGGAAGCACAATGACTGGGCACAGTGGTACACATCTATCATCCCCAGTGACCTAGTAGGAGGATCACAGACAAGGCATAAAATGAAACTACCTTTGACAATAACCAGTGCAAAAAGGGGCGGAAGGTGTGACTCAACTGGTAGAGTGCTTACATCACAAGCACAAGGCCATGAGTTCTTAACTATCACGCAAAAAATAAATAAAATTTCCCAAATACTTTAGAATATTTTGGACTCTGTAAGTAGTTGTAAAACTAATAATTGCTCCAGTGGTATGCAGAAATGTGATTTTATCTTTGCCATCTTTTTACTTAATAGCTTTTTGTTTTATTTTTGTACTATGATATCACTGGACTTAGCAGCTCCTTGATATTCAGGCTGGATCCTCATTCATTCTGTGGAGTGATACACTACTTTTGGAGCAGGATCATAAAAGTAGCAGAATTGGAGATGAGGCCTAAAATTACCTAGAGGAAGGACTTGGCCAGCTCTGGTTTCTCCTAGTGACATAGTGTTGTAAATACACATAAAAACACTTACGTTTGTGTTTGTATCTAGGCCCTTCAAGCTCTTTAAAAAGGTGATGGGGTGGGAGGTTGGAGGGATGTCAGCCTTTCAGCACATCTGTGTGATCCATTCTAACCAGTTGGTTGGAATGTTTTACCCTAGGGAAGAAAATGTTACTTTTGGTTTAATCCCTTATGTTTGTTTAGCATGTAATGGTTTACCAAGCACTTTCACATATATTTTCATTTTGTTTTTACTCCAGGCATAATAGGTAGAACAATAACATTCATTTCTTAGAAATGAAGTTGTTAA